AGAAGAATGGGATGGTAAACATAAATAAATAATAATTAAAAAAAAGATTGAAAATTACAGTGGGAGGAACCCCAGGAACTCCCTGGTGAGGAGGGAGCRCCTTGACTCAGCTGCTCCTAAAAAACATCCCAGGAGATTAACTCCACACTCATCCAATGTGAAATCCACCCAGAGGAATCAAGGAAGGAGACTCTCTCCCTGGAAAACCATGTCAACTAGAGGGGCTAAATTCCCAAAGGGAGTTCATGACCTCCATACATCTGCAGTGTAGCAGGCAATAGCTGAGCTGTAGAAGTGCTTGTGGAATGAGCCTATGTAACTTACTACTGACAGGATGTTCAGAATTCACCGGGTTCTTGTTTTCAGTTGTTTGCATATCTCACGGCTTAAGGAAAACCTATGAAAAACTTTCCTTAATAAACTGTCAAAAGTAATTGCTGTGAAATCTAATGAGYACCAGATGTTGTTTCTATAAACCATGGCAGACATCAGAGGAAGCTACTCACCTGAAGACAAATCTCATGCCAGAAAGCTGCCAGTCCCAACACCGCTATTAGATTCAACCTTCATCCTTCACATCTTGTTCTCCGCCCTTATGTTTCCAGCAACACCCTGGGCCCACTGCTCAGAGGTGCCTAGTAGCAAAGGGCATGGAAAGGGCTGAAGTGCTCGGTGCTTTTTGTGTCTCGGTCTCACCGTGTCCTCTCAGGCCCTCAAGCCCTTCAGCAGCGTCTGTGAGAGCACAGCAGCATGGGCAGATGAGGAGGATGCAGYGAGTGGGGGACACAGTGACAGGTACTTCCATCCCCTGGACATACACAGGCCCTAGGAACACACTAGGTGCACACAGGGTCACTGCAAGGCCTCACTCTATCGTCTCTGAAACGTTCTTGCAATTAGAGAAGGTTCCTAAYAGCTGGAAAACAGAAATATCAAACCCAGTTTCAAGAAGGGCAAGGAGACTTGAGGAAATTACAACCTGGTCAACCTCACTTCCTTAATATCCTTCCACTGAAAYTGGTGACCTACGGACTGGGTAAACAGGCAATGAAATGAGCTAAAGATTGGCTGAAAGGACAGTGATCATCCCTTAATGATGCGGGTGATAAGGTGAAGTGCATGGCCACCAGGGCTGCAGGTGACACCACTGAGACACAGGGGAGGACAGGGATGCCATGCAGAGCAACCTCAACAGCCTGGAGAAATGGGCTGACAGGAAGCTCCTCAAGGGTAAATATATGTAATAGATGGGGGGGGTATCTGTGTGTGTGTGCGCACGCGTGCATAAAATAAATTACATGTTGGCTGTCCCCCCAGCTCAGGCTGTTAACTTTAAATTGGTTTAGATGCAAAGAATTAAAAAAAAAAAAAACTTTCTTCAACAAGAGCCTGAAGTCAGTGGGGTATCAGGCTYCACGTATAGGTATATCAGGGTGTATCAGAGGCATCTGCCCGCACCCCCTCCTTTCCATATCTACTGTGGAGGCCAGGTAGGAAAGGAAGAGAGAATAAAATCCTCACCTCTTCTCTGGRAAGTGAATGCCCAAGAGTGCAGGTAACATTAAGGTCCATTCTACGTAAAAAATCTCACAGCTTATATGAAAGTGAGGCAGCTTTACGTAGCTTTCTCATCTAGCTAGTGAGAAACTAGGAAAACCAACAATTCTAGCACCTGCATGCTGGAAATACGCCCTACAACCAGGCCCAGCTGCTTCAATTCTCATAAATCCTTAACTAAAGCAGGCGTATTATACAAAACGCAAACAGTATTTGTGTTACCTTCCTGTTAGTGAAAAGGCAGATGTTACAACTGGCTATATATACAAGGATGCTTGAGAGAAAAGGGTAGAAAACAGAAAAAAAACACACTAAAGTATCAAGTGTAACTACAAAAGTTAGAACAACAAACCATAAGCGAGGTCTCCAAATGCCAAGTTAGAAACAGAATTTAGAAAGCTGAAAGTAAACTGTCTCTGAAAAACGCAGTCATAGATGTCTTCTGAGGATCTAAAAGGTTTTCAAGCGATATGCTGAAAGGTTTAGATTCACAGAATATTTAAGGTTGGAAGGGACCTCTAGAGATCATCTAGTCCAACCTTCCTGCTCAAGCAGGCACACCTACAGCATGTGCCACAGGGTGGCATCCAGGCGGGTTTTGAAGACCTCCAGAGTAGGAGACTCCACAGCCTCCCTGGGCAGCCTGTTCCACTGCTCTGTCACCCTCACAGGAAAGAAGTTGCTCCTCACCTGGAGA